CGGTCGCATCCCGCGGAGATGATGTATCCACATTTCGTGTTGGTGTCCTTGTCGTCGACAGGGGCATTGAGGCCGACCGCAAACGCCAAGATGCCAAGTCGATCGCCGGCTATATTATTCGAGGATGGGGTGCCTGGTTCAGTGCTTGCAAAGCGACTCAGCATCCCTTCTGGCCGGTCGCCATCCACCCGCCACGCTTCGTAATCGCTCGGCACGACAGCCGTCGGGTAGACATGAGCGGCGCGGGGAGGATGATGAGCTCCATTGGGGCCATTATTGCCGACGCCCAGTGGGGTGGCTTGGCAAACCTCGCGACAGCGGAACTTCTCGATATCCCACACAGTGATCTCATTGCCGTGGCTGCCGCTGCTGGATACGCAGACCCAGCGTCCGCGGGCCTTGACGGGGTGTAGTTGGATCCGGTTAATAGTACCCCAGCCTGGAAGGCCCCAGGCCTTCAGCCGCACGCGGAAACGGAGATCCCACAGGTCGAGAATCCCATGGGTTGTGCCGACCAGTAGCCAGTGATGTCTGCGGTCGCAACAGAACGTAGTTAGAGTGCCGTGGTGAACTGGATTTTCTAGTGTGTAGATCGGAAGCATGGTTTTCATGTCCAACGCAATAATGCGACAAGTATTCGTCGCAATGATCAAGGTGGACTGCCCTTCGTCACGGAAGTGTTCCACCCAGACTGCGTATTCGGGGGACCCGTCTTCGGCTATGGGCAGCTGATATTCGCGAACGATTTGAAGCTTGCCATATCGGACGGCTGTCTTACTGACTTTCTGATAGTCGACTCGAACGGCATGAACGCTGCCATCGGTGGCCGCACTGATAAAAGTGTAGGTATTCTCAACAAAGGTCAAAGCCTTCACGCGCGAGCCTGTGGCATGACGGTGAGTTTGACGCGATCGAGGAGTCAAGTTTCTTTCAAGACGAGTTGTGTCCCAAATCTTCACCGTGCTATCGTCGGATGCAGTAACGAAGAAGGAGTGATCTGGTGCTACCACGACACGATTGATTGGCGCACTGTGCTCGCCAAAGGTCGCGACTAGATTCCCTTCGGGCTTCCAGATCTTACTTGGTTCTTGATCAGTGGCGCCGTGAATCGGTTGCCGGGTGTCAAGTTCTTTCACATATGGCCCTAGGTCAAATAGATCCGTCGGGTAGTTTTCCTCAAAGACGTTGTCTAGCAGCCGCAGAACCGCAGGGTCGTTGCCCCCATACGAATGGTGTGCACGATATTTCTGCGTCAGTTTTTGCTCGGGTGGAAGCAATGGTGTCAATGGTTGGGGTGTGTCTCCTCTGTGAATCGGTGCATCTACCTTTCCAAAGGCGTTTGCGGAGCTTGTACCGGTTTCAGCGTAGGCTTTGGCAGAGTTCCGACTCAACAAACTCATCGCGCTAGGCTTTTTATGTACACGATAGGATAGACTTCTAGTGTCTAGGTTGGTTGGTGTCAACGAGCCGTCTTGTCCAGGGCTCGGTCGGCGACTGGAAACCATCTGATCATTATCAATGTTCGGAGGGGACAGTGGACGAGACGCAGGCCCTCCGCCAGGCGATGATGTCACTGGAGACGATGATAATGAAGAAGTATCATTTCCGTCCAAGATAGGAACAAGCGAGGAACGTCTTGTCTCTTTCGAAAGTTGGCTTTTCGACCGCAAGTGCCTGCGTTGAGCAATGGGCATTCGCTCGATGGTTGTAGAAGCGTCAAGCAAAGCATCCGCAATTGTTCTCGGCCTTGGTTCCTCGGAGGTGCCGTCGCTCGCATCTGAGTGGCTTGGTCGCGGCTGATCTTTAATTTCCTTATCAAAGAACACAGTCTGGGGCTTGACTCCATTTTGTGTTAAACTGACAATGTCATTCGAGGGTGGGGTTGAATGAACATCACTTTCTCTCGATTGCCGCAATGAAACCCTCCAAATGTAGTCTTTGAGTGCGAGAAGCTTGAATTCATCCTCAGGGCCCATCCCAACATTTCGCAACCGACTAAGCCATTGCTCGTCCTCGTCATTTCTTGATTGGGCGGCCATATTAAAGGAGGGATTCCGTTGACCCACCCGGGGACTGAATGATCCAGGCTCAGACAAGCTGAACATGCCATCGCGACTTAGAGACTTCCAGAAAACACCTCTTTCTGATTTGGAAGCCCAGTGGAAGGCCATTTCATACACACTTCTGGACATTGGCCGTTTGAGTGCATCGAGCATTTGGGTATCGGAAATCACAACGATTTTGATCTTGAGGAAAGGCCGGATAATGGGTGTCAGGATGGAATGAATATCCGCTATTGATAAAAATTTGGCGGAATTAACCACAAACTTGACTGCTGCCTCCCGAATCCAGACGTTCGGATGCCCCAAAAATCCAACAGTGGTGTGTAGGAGATCCCACGTTGTTGATCGCTGGAATAAGCCCAAGTCAGCCATGGTTGCCAGAGATCGAATTACCCTTTCAACAACAAATTCCTCGGGCTCGGTCATGGACTGAACCATCAGCGGCAATATGTATAGCTCCAAATTCAGGCTCCCCACGTAGGCAGCCACACCGATGACTGCCTCGAAAAAGGCGCATTTCAAAATCCAGTCTGGATCGTTCAAGTAGGTGTTCAAATGGCTAAGAACAACCTCATTTGCTCTGAGATTGCCGAAAAAAACACAAAGGCTGGAAACAGACCCTAGAAACGCTCGCCGAACTGATGCATCCGTGTCTGTCAACAGCATTTTTGTGTGAACCTCGAAGTACTCCAGAAGATCGACCCGCGCCACGTCATAGAGATTGTGATAAGTCGCATCCTCAGTCCATCGGGGCTCAAAGCCGACCGGGATCAACGCAGCCAAACGGGTATCGGAACGTAATGCTTGGATCATGTCCAAAAACCTCAAGGATGACTGGGCCAAAGACGCAATACATGAGGCATATGCCGCACGCACCATGGCACTTGATTTGCTGTTGGAGGTAGCAACGAACGGCTGGAGCCTTGGAAATATGTATTCGGAGAACAGATAGGCATTTACTGGAGAAACCACCTGGACCATTTTCAGTAATTGGGTCAAGGTGCGGACCGCAGCGACCTTGACAGTATCGGTTCGATCAGATAGTAAGACCATGATATATGGAAGAATGCGATCCAATTTAGCTTCATCTGACAGCCTTTCTGCAAATGCAAGAAGAATATCGCAGGCCTTGATCCGAGCCGATGCCTTCGCTGTATTTCGCAAGTTGGATACCACAAGTGTTAGGAAAATCAGAGCACCCTCGTCGGGCTGTGACTGCGGTGCTGAAAGTTGGCTTTCACCCTTGGGCGGATCAAGCCTCACAGGAAGGGTGTTGCCTGTCAATTTAGTGACTGGGACACTAGATAGAGCACCAACGCCACGGGTATTAGAACCGAGGAAGTAAGACACTTTATCAAAGTCTAGGTAAATTCGCTCAATGCGTTCGTCTGCCTCCCTTCGGTGGGCTGATTCTGCATCCACATCTGTCCGCCCGGAAGAAGGATCGGTCATGAGGGACATGTATTGGTGGAGAAAACTGTAGAAGTATTCCGGAAAGGCCTTGCCCTTCCAGAAATTCAGATATTCATCCGCCGAGTACCGGGACTCTGGCTCAAGCTGGATCATATGCAGGATCAACTCCCGAATGTCCGGATCATCGATTTTTGCTAGTTGACTGTGTTCTGGGCTGTATTCCCCTTTGCGATACTTGTACATTTGACTCAAGTTGAAGATCGGCGATTCAAGAAAGAGCTCCGCAATGACACAGCCAGCACTGAAGATATCCATTGCCCAGTTGACGCCGCTTTCACTTGGCTCCTCCCCGGCAACAGAGAACCGCTCGGGGGCTAAGTAACAGGTTCGCCTCCCGGAGATGTCGAAGAAGAAAGAGAAATCTGCTGGATTATCCTCGGGAAGGAATGTCGGTTTGAAAGATGACGAGAAATCAGAAAGATATAGCCAGTTCCAAGATGTGACTAAAACATTTTCAGTCTTGATATCACCATGGTAGACATCCAATGAATGGCAATCTCGAAGAGCACACAACAGCTGAAAGGCAATCCACTTTTTCTCAATATGCTCTAGAAAAGGCCGTGTGCTATATATCTATGTTAGGCTTCTTCGCTAGTACACCTTCGACAAACATACCTCATTCGATCGTAGAGAGAGCTGTGAATGTACTGGCGCACAAGGTATCCACTCGTGGCAGTCTCAACAATCCTCTGGTAGCTCAGCGCATTTGGCACATCCGCCAATAACTTTCGTTCTCCTGAAGTGAACATGGACATTAGAAGCTTGAGATGGTAAAAAGGATCTAAACATACTTGTAATGTTTTTGATATATGGCTCCAGTTGCATGGTTGGGAACGGTTTCATGATAATCTTGATGAACACCAGACCATTTGGTTGCCTTGCGCGAATGCTTTTCATAAACCTGCCACCCCCCATCGACTTCTCATACACCATGTCAGATAATTCAGGCACATCGATCCCCGCCGAACCCGCGGACAGGGTTGTGAGGGAGTAGCCTTGTCCCATGGTGTCGACTGCCCATCATCTCCCGTTGGAGATTTGATGGTATTTATTCAAAGTCAGAGATTGATTAAATCCGATGGAGATGATTGGGGAGAACTATGCGATAAGGAAAGTCGAGTTGAAGCCGATGAAGTCACTGGACGTGTCGACACGTGCACAAGGCGGTCAGCAAGATGTTGTTGGCAACTTTCAACTCGTCAGCTTTTCCTCTTACAATTTTTCTGTTTCATATTAAAATTGCCGATTATTATATCTTAAACTGACAGAGGTCATTGCTACGGTGTTATTTGTGGTCAATTGAACTCCCCGCTGATCAAAAAACATGGATCTTCCATCGATACCTCGGTCTTGATACCTGCAGTTCTGCCCTATCCCTAAGGGGAGATACACTAGGTCCAAAAAAAGGAGAACAAAAACAAACAGCCAATTTTATTGAAAGGAAAGCCTGGAGTCATTCTCCAGATGGATAAAATCATGGATCATACGGAAATTCCGGTGATCGAAATTGATGAGCCGCTCTTCGATGTTCTTCCTAAACTGTTCAAGTGAGCCCTGTCCGTGTTTTTGATTGAGCTGGATTAACCAAGCCCCCTGTAGCTTCATCAGCATGGCTGTGGGTGATATGGCTTACACGTTTGAGCAAATGCTGTACGGATCCCAAGGACACCGTCTTAGACAACTGGTCCATGCTTTAGCAGATGATACTCACAATCCTTATATCATTGTGGCATTGATGTAAGTTCAGCACAAGACGACACTAGGATTGGACTGGTTGATTAACAGATCCAGGATTTTGAAATGGGACTTCACCACCGCCACCGAGGATGACTGGGGACTTAATGAGAGCCGTGGTGCAGCCTGCGAATTTGTTGCCTGGCAATTCCTGTGTCACCTGAACCAGCGCGAGACGATTGAGTTTCTGCTAGAAGAGCTACCAATACCGCGGCGCGGTTCGACAAATTCCATTAATTCCGAAGCAGGTAGCCCTGCCCTGGCATCTATCCAGGGTAGGCGAGCGGAAAGTGAGACCACTCCTCTCTTGCCAAAGTCCTCTTCTTTTTATCGTCTTTTTAGCAGCAGGAGGGTAACAGAGACTCGGCTATCTGGAGCTTCACAAGATACATACCAAGAGGAAACCTATGCTGCTCAGAGATATTCCCGGTTTTTTGGATTGAATGCACTGGAGATTGCAACAATTGCCAATGCAAAGACATTTCTGAGCCAAAAAGTTGTTCAAAAAGTGGTCGATGGTATTTGGAAGGGTGAAATCGTTTTCTGGGGTTCTCTGACGGTCAATTCAACCAAGAAACCTCATATTTTCAACGCAAGGTCAGACCCGACACGGAATAGTCTCGCAGCGATACTGACGATTCTTTCATCAGAACGGCTGATCCGTATTCACGCCTGAGAGTCCCTCTGTATCGGAAAATCTTTGAAGCAGCATTCTTCATGTCTTTCCTCTTTCTCTACTACGCAGTCCTAATAGAGAGGAGACAAGATGCTGTTGGCGTCTTCGAGGCAGTGATGTATGTGTGGATCGTCGCTTTTGCGTATGACGAATTGAGTGGGATCATTGATGCCGGAGTCATTTTCTACCAAATGGACTTCTGGAGCCTCTGGAACGTGAGCATAATTGGTGTTGGGATCGCATTTGTCGTAACGAGTGAGTCACCGAATGCCCAATCTGCCTTACGGCTCGTTGGCAGGTCATCTGTGTTGATGGTGCGACTGATGAGAACGCCACAGGGGTCATCGGGCTAACGAAGGGCGACAACGACATTATTGAGCTCTCATTCGATATTCTTTCCTTGGAGGCTCTGTTTCTTGTACCAAGGCATGGCTACTCGTGGAATATGCATTTGCGCGACAAGGCTGACACGGAATGAGCAGGATCTGTTCGCTTGTGAGCTTGAATTCATACTTCGGCAGTCTCGTAGGTGGATCCTGCATGGAGCATCACCATTTCTAAAACAAGATTGACTGATATGAATAGATACCGGTGTTGAAAGAGATGGTGCGATTTTCCCCCAACCCCTCGCTCAGGCTTTGCGACCCAAGGCTGATTGACAATCTGTTTCAGACGAAAGCATTCTTCAGGTTTTTCCCCGTGGTGGTAGTATTGTATATTGGTAAGTGTGGCAAAGCATTCCGCCCTACAAAGTGAAGCATGTCGGAGCCGAATAAAATGCTGAATCCCCTACAGGTTTCTTGACCACATTCACAATGCTTGCCCGTGACCGCTTGTCTCTCAGTACAATGTCACATTTGTTAGTGAAAGTGTTCTTTGGGTACGGTGAAGGAACCCCTGTCGTGACCGCTCTTTTATTTTTTGGCTGACCACTTGAGGCAGATCGAGTGTTCTTGGATTAGTGGGTTCCCACGTTCCTTTCCCTCTTTAGGATGTGCACTGACAGTGGCTGAATTTATTGGATGACAGGACACCGCGTCTGAAGTAAGTCTGCGCACCAGGCGGCTGTTCTGCAGCCCAAACCGCATTATTCCGGAATATTGGCGGAATGGTTGGCTGTCGTGTTAAGTTGAAATGCACGCTAACTTTTTTTTAGATCTCCCCCATCTTCGGCTATGGCTTGATGTAGGTTCCCTTGGTTTTTTTGGCTTTTATTGCGCCACGTTGAAAAAAGTCGCATGTGCTTTTGATCACGTTCCGATATGCAAGTGACCCTATCTTTTTGGGGCGCCCTGAGCACACGCGATCTACAACTTCCACGCAGATACTGATGGGAATGGCTTCTAGGCTTACTTTCGCCTTGATGACCAATACACTCATTCTTTCATCTTTGATTAGTTTGATGAGCATGAGCCTCGAAGGGGTAAGTAATAACGGTCTACTAGGTATATTGTGTGGCTGATTAATTTCTCTATTTGTGATAGGTGATGCGCCATGCTCGAGAAGAATACCTTTTTCAGTAAGTATACAAACATCCCTGCTGGTCCGAAATTTGGCACTGCCCCATGGAAAATTCCATTTTGACTGACAAGCCAATCAGGTTGGCCATTTATGTGCTAGAAAGCAGCAACTCTCGGCGACTGACATACTTCATGCCACCCCTGGTCAGTTAGCGTCTGATCGTTGAAACTTGAATCTTTCTTTGTATCTTCTGGAATATTTCCAAGCTAATACTCGGCAGAATCTTATTCCCCTCCTCTGTATCCGCCCCATGCGGCTTTTTCTCTCTGCCGGAACGGTTCGTCGCGTACGCATAGTCCTGCTTCGAGCCACCCACCTCCCGTTTGTTGCGTTGATATGGGCATACGAGTCTAAATGGCGACATTCAAAACGAACCACCATCCAACTACCCCCAATGTCGGCACGCGGTCAAGGAACTTCTGAACCAACTGAGTCAAGGTGCCGGGACCCACACCACCCCTCCGTAGTTGAAACAAATCGCCTAGGCCCTGGAAAAGCACCTAGTGTGGATCAACAAGCCGTGCGCGAGCTAGACATGGGGCAGGTCGGGCAAGTACCGCAGCTTGCGGACCTGATCGACACGATAGAGCGACTACGAACTCAAGTGGAGGCTATTGCCCAGCAAAAGTGACCATTACACAATTTTCTGGGCACAGAATACGGCTCCGCACTGTGATTTGGCTCTGTGGAGTCGAGTTCGAAAAGAAAGGCGCGTAGAGGGGTCACTGCCCTAGCGCTTAGAGCCACGCACGCCCCTGCGCCGGACTGAGCGCTAGTCGGCGTCCGTTCGGTTTAGTGGCAGAGCCACCTTGACAACTCCAAAAAAGCCGTTCGATATTGTGAACAACCACATCGATGACGGCCTAATCGAAACAGGCTTGGTGCTTTTTTTTCGGAGTTCGCTTTTTTTTCTCCTATTTTCCTTTTTCCTTTTTTTTTTTTGGGCTTCCCCCCTGCGTTTCAAGATTGGTCCTCCTTTTCCAATCAATCTCATATTTGATCCACAAGAGGGGGGGAAGCGAGTAAATAGATCACGGCCATGATATCTCATAGAGAGCTACAGTTTGTCCGGGGGCGCGTCAATTACCGGTGGAGTCAATGTGGAGTTTCCGCGCTATGGTATACATGAAGCCAAAGGGATCGAGCGGTTCGGAAGGGCTGGCCCGCATACGACGGAGGTCACGATAATTAGTTCTGCTCATGAATTGTTGATCAACTCCATCACCCGATTCCGGACTTCGTCAGAAAATACTACATTCCCCACCGTCTCAGGGCTGTGCTCTTGGTCGACAGGCCCCTCGACCAATGCACCTCGCCAAGCCGATCCAGAGACTCGGGCTCTGCTGCTGTTTCTGTATGGCTACTCCCTGCATGGGACACGTCTCGGTTGGGCAGACCAGCCCAACGGTGGTCAAATGGATGGTTAGCCTTTCCCAGACAAACCCAAGAGCCGCCGTTATGCACCGTCATATCTCTTATGTACCTTAGTAGTTCTTACAGGGTATTACGATCTCTAAAATTGGCCGAAACTAGGCTGCAAATGCATTGATTTGCCCTAGGTGGCTATGACATAGTCTATCTTGATCTCCGGAGCTAACCCTCTGTGAGTGCACATATGCCAGACCTGACTGCCATCTCGTCCGGATTACCCTTACCCCCCGGCCGTTAATGCCCCCACCCGATTTTCTCTTCCACCGCAATTACAGACCCTTTCTTCTCCAAATCTGCCTTGTCTATTACGGTGTCAGGTCGTTGAATCTTCAGCATTTGTCGGTGTCGATGCGGCGCAAGTTCTTCTCCAATGAATTCACACCCTATCCACCACCCTCCTCTCAGCCACCGATGTATGCCACCACTGTCAATCACCAACAGCGAAGCTGTTGACTCCAGAGCCTTTACTATATATACTTGCATTGATCACCCTTTATTTACTCTGATATAGACTAGCCCTCCGGTTGGTTATTTGATGGGAATACACTTCTTATTTTTTTTTATCTCGGCTTCTCTCTACACCATGAATCGGAATTTAGTTCAGCGCACCTCAATTACATCCCCGCGAAGAGAGGAGATACAGTCTTGCGAAGCATCCTCGATATACTCGTCTCCTGTTTCGACCTCGTCCCAGGGAGGTGTTTCCCCTATTGGTCTGGGGATTTCCCGCTGCGACATCGACAATGGATTCGGTCAACTGAGGGCCTTCCCTACGTCAACACTGCCATCGCAACTGATTCCTGGAGCGCCAAATCCCACCTTCGCATTATCCTATGACGACTATGCCGGAGCATGCTATCCATCAGTTTACGACGGACTCGTCAACAGTGCTTCGGAGACTTCACTGGGGTTCTACAGCCCCACGACGATGAGCGCGTCTCCCAGCTACAACTCTGGCATGGAGATTGCCTCTGGCCAGAATGTCTTCGCGGGCCAAATGACCGATATGTGGATGCACACACCTTGCTCGGGACCGACAACGCCATCGGATGTGGTCACTGTACCGAACGGAGCAGGACAATGGGGCCAGAGTGTGTATTCGGACGTGTGTATGCCCTCTGCGATGCCCCTATTGTCCGTCAACGACATGTCCTACCTTGGGGCGATGGGAGAGGAGATGGGATACGACGGGTCTGGAATCAACACTGGTCAAGTCTTGCAACCCCAAGCATCTATCGAAGGATTCTCCGACGGTGCCATGGAACCGAGCGCAATAGAGCGCTGCTCGTCAAATGACAGGCTAGTATCTGCCAGTGGCCTGGAATGTCCCATTTGTGGCGCAAAATTCACGCGACGCTCCAACTGCAAGGAGCACCAAAAGCTGCACAACCCTGAATGGAGGCACAACCATCCTTGCGATGAGTGCCACAAGAGTTTTGGCCGGAGCTCGGATCTCAAAAGACACATGAACACCGTGAGTAGGGAGGCTAAATGGAATCAAGCATAGACACTAACGAGGTCTCTAGGTTCATCTCGGGCTTCGGAAGTACTGCTGTGACTCTTGCGACCGGCGTTTCAGTCGTCAGGATAGTCTGGCCAGGTAAGAAGCCAGAATATTTATCCTTGAATGTATACTCGTGGGACTAATATGAGCAATAGACATGATTGTGCGGAGAAGCAGCGCAACGCTGCGAAGTTTACCGGCCACGTTGATCCTTCGCTCACGCCCAAGCAACGCCAACGAGTGCCGAATCACCGCCGCTCAGCTAGCTAGTAGCTCGGACAGCTGATCCCATGTCTGCATGTTAAATGAATATCGGGATATATCGTCTTTGGCTATGGTTCTTGGATTGCATGGTTTTGCCATTCTGGGATCTGCTAGTCAGAGCTACTCAAGTTTGCTTTTCTTTACTGGGCTTCATGAATGCGAGACTCCTATGAGGATTCATATATCTCACATGGCATGAAGCCCCATTTCCTTGGCGTTGTTGGATTGCTATACGATGCATTTGGTTGGAATTCTGGATTATTGTACTGCAGGTGGTCTTTTTTGCTTATCGCATTGTTTAATACATTTCAATTGACTAAATTGACTATACTACTATTTGATATATTACCCCGTACATATTTCCCATGTTCGAATGTGATATCATTTGCATGCGCATGAGCTGGCGCGCGGGTAACAAGGAATATCTCATCACTTCTAGCTCAAGATCTGCATGGTCTGTAGCAGGGATGCTGAAGATCAGAGTCTTGGAAGTCTTTGAAGTTGACCAGTACAACATACATATTGTGTATGAATGCAGGTTCGGACCAACGACTCGTACGAGACCCAAAAGGACATTGTTCTGCGTGGAAATTGGACTTATTTCCACGAGCAGAGAATTTCACCGAGGAATTATTCCCAGGGATCGCCTCCGACTCAAAAACTACCCCCTTCCCCCTCTTCGACTCTTCGAGGCCCGTTGGGATCTCGACTCTTGCCGCGCTCCACCTAAGAACGCCGACTCACACGCTAAGATTAAGAGGGATCGTCGACATTCAGACGATCTTTGAAGGAAGACTGTGAAACAACTCTAACTGTCTTAGTGTTTTCAAAAGCGCTCTTGCTCCGTTCTCTAAATTCGCAAGTGCCGACAAAAAAAGCGCAAATCCCCAGGTGAAGTACCGCGTTGTGTCTCACTTCTAGCCCTGACCTCCTGCAATTTATTAATCCTTGCTCACACGGGAAAATAGAGTGGGAATCCGACGTTCCTAAACAAATAGTCATTATTATTGTCCAGAATCCTCTCTCTCACCCCGCTATCTCCGCTAAGTGGAGTCCAAACGACAATTGACCATTTGGAATTGTGCCTCCGGTGCAGCCGCGCAGGAGACATCGCGTCTGTTCGCCTATTTAGAAAATGGTCCGTGATCATAAACTACATCAGAATGCCTAATATAGCAGAGTCAGGTACCGATGCTTGCCCCTGAGATTCGCGAGTGGGCCCGGAAAATCCAGGAGTCATATATCTCTTCCACGATAGGCTCTCCGAGGTGAGGCGTTTGTACTTATTACCCTATCGGCAATCATTTTCCTGTTTGCTCCGGGTGGGATTGTATGCAGTAAAGTAAAAAAAGTACGTTGATACATTGATTAGGGAGATATATGCCGTATAACATAGCTAATAAGAAGCTGTCTCGCAATATTCTCAGGACATTCGATTTGCAGATCCCTATGATTCCCCATCGGAGCTATGGCCCCAAGCTAGAGAAAAAAGCTGGAAAAAAGAAAAGAGGAACAGTCCAAGCTCGATATTATTGCCCAAAAGGAATCAACGCCGATCTCTACGGGTTCCTCCGTATCCGCAATGAACTAGGGGCCAGGAATAGCCAGAATAGCCAGGAATAGGAACAAAAGAATCCTTGTCCCACCGTCTCATTTTGTGATGGAGCTCTCAATTTCAAAAGGGCTATCATAATTTTGGAATTTGTACTTCAGACTACGTCCATCCCCTTCACTAGTTCGCAACGCCACTAACACCACTCCGTACTTTCAACGGCTTTGAAATCGGCACCCCACGGGTGGCTAGCCTGAGCTATCGATTTATTCGTATAATCTACCCCTGAGTTTAGATTCGGATATTCGGAAATCCTGGCTATCTTTCTAGATTGCGATAATGCTCTCATCGATGGAGTATGGAGGATTGACGACATGCAGGGACAATCCAATTATCAGTCAGATCGGTAAGCGTTATCCGAAGTCGACAATGTATGGTTGAACCACCGGGCTTTGTGTCAAGATCCTAAGAAGACTGGAGATCTGATTGGTTGATCTTGGATATTGACATGGGTATTCGATCATATCACACGCTACTACGACTCATCACACGGTCTTGTAGCTGAGATTGTTGGTTTATACTCCGTCGGAGTTCGGAGTACATGCTAAATTCTAAATAAGGGGTCTGATAGATGTCAGACGCCTGTGGAAAATGTTTGGGAAAGTAAAATAACATATGCTTAACGCTTGACTTATCAATATTTAGCTTTATCATTGTATATGGACTACTCTCCAAGTCGACAATAGAAAAAAACCAGTCTCTGTTACATTTCTCTAGAATTTTCGATTGATTTAGGGAATTTATACATACTTTTTACCCTTGAGTCTATCTGTCTATTCTCCATTTGGTATATCCATCCCAGGAAGCATGAATCGACAAC